CGTTAATTCCAATTGAAAGAATCGATTGCAGTTCCGTGTTTTTTTCCTCACTTTGACAATTGAAAATCAACACTTTTTTCACTTCTGTTTTCCTATTTATCGCACCATGTCGCCCTCCTTCTTCCCGTCCCTCTCCTCTCCGTCTCTCGCGCTACTGTGATGTTTTTTTTCTCCCGCTCTTGTCAGTTGTCGGACGCTGCCCGAGACCTTTTTGTCATGTCTATGTCCAATTTAACAACCTTCCTTACAACTGAGATCTTAATCAGCTATGAATTGTACCTTTTATTTACCGCAGTGTAAATAACTTATGAATGTTGCATAGCAATAGCGGCGTTTTTATTATTTAACTGGGAACTGACTGCTGTTGGGAAAGATAATTGGCAGTTAGTGTAGGTTACCACCGCTCTGCCAGTTACTTTAAAGACTTGACCGTCATCTCGTAGTGCCACGACTGCTTAGGTTTCTTTTTGTGAATTTTTTTTCGTCGTCTTGTTCTTGGTCTTTCTCCTCTTCTGCTCCTACTTTATTCGCCAGTGGCCATTACTTTTTATCACTATATTCGTACAAAAGTCGTCATGGCAGAAATGCAAGGAACACAGTGTTCTTCATTTCAAAGTTCACCCTTCCGCGTTGCCAACAAGTGAACCGCTGGTTTCGACTCGTATCCGAATCAAAGGCCGGACGAGTGGCAGATGTCACTATGAAAAGAGTCGAAACTGGCGGTTCACAACCCCAGCGTTGTCTGGATATTGTGACTGAGGAGAGTTTATAGGCAACACTGAGTACTGCATTTGGCAGTGGAAAGAAACTGTACTTCCGCATGTGTATTTTTTTCTTTCTTTCTTTCTTTTTTTGAAACTGAGATAAATTCTATATCGATACGTCCAAGGAATCAAATATGAAAAATAAAAATATGTTTATATTAATCTATATCAAGTGGGAGGAAACGCACGCGCGCACACACACACACACACACACATACACACATACACACACACACACACACACACACACACACACACACACACACACACACACACACACACACACACACACTAATACGCATACACGCACACACACACACACACACGCACGTACATATGTCTGTCTCTCTCTCGCTCTCCTCTCTCTCTCTCCTCTCTCCTCTCTCCTCTCTCCTCTCTCCTCTCTCCTGTCTCCTCTCTCTCCTCTCTCTCCTCTCTCTCCTCTCTCTCCTCTCTCTCCTCTCTCTCCTCTCTCTCCTCTCTCTCCTCTCTCTCTCTCTCTCTCTCTCTCTCTCTCTCTCTCTCTCTCTCTCTCTCTCTCTCTCTCACTCTCTCTCGCTCTCTCTTACTTTTCCTCTTACAAAACATAGAACGGCCATTGTCAGCACATTTTTCATGTATATATATATATATATATATATATATATATATATATATATATATATATATATATATATATATATATATACATGTATATGTATATATATATACACATATATACATGTATATATGTATATATACATATATATACATATATATATATATATATATATATATATATATATATATGTATATATGTGTGTGTGTGTGTGTATGTGTGTGGAATACATATATCTCTCTATTCTCATATCTATATCATATCTAGCTTTATCAGCTACAATATTATATCATACGTGTGTGTGTGGTGTGGGTGGTGTGTGTGTGTGTGTGTGTTTGTATGTCATGTCTATCTTTATATCTTCTGTCGCATCATTCTTTTCTCGTCATCTACTTATTCTATATCTCTCTCTCTATATCTTTCTATATTTACTTATCATATATATATCACTTCTTTCCTTTATATATATATTCATTTATATATATATTTCCATTATATATATATCTTCATTTGATCTATCTCTTCATTTTACTCTATCTTTCTCTATTCATATTCTATCTCTCTATCTCTCTCTATCTCTCTCTATCGATCTCATCTATCTCTCTCTACTCTGTTATCTATCCCCCTCTATCCTAATCTGTATCTTTTCTGTTTATCTCTATCTATCTCTCGATCTACTTCTCCTCTCTATCTCTTATACACACATATATATCTCGCATATCTCTATCTCTGTGTGTGTGTGTGTGGGTGTGTGTGTGGTGTGTGTGTGTGTGTGTGTGTGTGTGTGGTGTATGTATGTGCTCTTTCTATATGTGTGTCTCTCTCTATCCTTATATATCTACTAGCTATATCTCTCATATATCTCAATCTCTTCTCTCTCTATCTCTCCTCTATCTCTATCTCTCTATCTATCTTATCCTTCCTATCTCTCTCTATTCACATTTATATCATCTCTATTCCTTTATCTATCTATTTATTTCTCTCTATATTCCTTTCTCTGTATCTCGTCATTTCTCTCTCTATTTGCATTCTCTCTATCCTATATCATTTCTCATCTCTCTATATCTCTCTACTTCTACTCTCTATCTACGTACTCTCTCTATATCCCTCTCTCTCATCTCTCTCTCTATCTATCATA